ATGTGGAAGATTTTTTGCGGTGGATTGAAGTGTGCAGTGCTGTTTCATACCTTCATGCTGGATTTCAGGGATGCCTAGAACCTTCATGGAAGAGAAGAATGATAATTTGATTGGGGAAAATTTGAAACTGAGACGATTGACTCTAGACTTGGCTTCCACTGTCTTGGCCAGCTTATTATTGAATCATTTTTACCCAATATAACGCTACAGGAACAGAAAAGATTTTTTTAAAGATTAGAAAGACAGTTTTTTTCTTCTTCAATAAGCGAGTAAGCGGGTGCAGCAAAGTACCTCCTAAATTGAATGTGAAGTTGTGTTTAGTTGCATTTCTTCTTGGAATAGGCACAAGTGAGCGACCATTTTTTCTAATCAAATATCAGCTTCTTCGTAGACATCTCTCTCTGCAGGGAGAATAATGTTCCTCTGCTTGTACCTTTCTTGTAAACTAAGGACAGGGTTGAAAATAAAACAAACTTACAGCAAAGTACAACTTGCTCTTTCCTATATCCATATTTCTATAAACTGCATTTACATTTGTGCCAAGCGGCATAAATCATGTCCTATGTATCATTAATATACATTGTTGTCAATGGGAGACGCATGAATGGAAGAAATATGGTGCTTCCCAATAGAGACAGTGTTGAAAAATGGGCTGTAGATATGGTGAGAATAGAAGCTCTGCTCATTTGGCTGCAAATACTGTTCAAATCTCTACTGCCCCCTAGTGGGGTAACTTATTGAGTTGCAGAGAGTGTGTGGGGGTGTGTGTTAAATCAAGCAGCTGTGCTAGAATATTTCTACCCGAACCCCTCAGTTTTGTGTTGCAAACACTGCAACAAATCTGACATTTTGCAGTTTTAAATAGATTTATTCATGAAAGTCCTCCACATCAGATGGTCCATTGGTTTTATTTTGTTCACCTGCAGAAGAGATAGAGCCCAACAGATTTCTAAACTCCTAGTTTAAGAACACAAACTTCTTTTGGTCAAAGCTGGTCAAGTCAAATGCATGCAGTGCCTTTAAAAGTATTCAAACCTCTTCAACTGTTTCTCACATTTGTCTTATCATAACCTCAAACAATTATGCATTTAATCTAAATTTTATATTTCATAGATGTACAAATCTGATTGATGTGATCTGCATTTGTGTTCAGAGCCTTGAGTATTTTTTATTTTTTTTTACCACATATCCCTGCCACTACAATTTATTTTAAAGCTAATAGCTATGAGCATAACTCCTCCCAACCAGTAAGTGGCAAACTCTTTTTGTCCGCTCTAATTCTGTACTATTTGCAAGGCAGATCCTCTAATGCTAACTAAACATTTAACTTACCGGTTTAGAAGAAAAGCGATACAGTCAGTGTGCCTTCTCTGCCCCTTTGCTTCCATTAGGGCAAATTTGGTCCCTTTTTTTTGTATTTTTTAGCTTGAATCTTAGAAATGGAAGTCATTTCTTAAAGTGATGCATGAACTCTGTTTCACATTTAACCTGCTACTCCCAATGGTTCTGAATCCTTTCATGTTGATGTTAGCATCACAAATATGAGTAAATATTTGTATATTTTAGGCATGTCATAAGTTATAAAACTGTGATTTATTTATTTGTTTTTTTTTATTGTTTTACTCAACACCATTCTAGATGTTATGTTAATGTATTATTTTAGGAAATTTAACTGAAAACTTTTCAGCAGTGACCTTTATCAGATTATCAGATAATCAATTTTATGTATATATAATATTTATATATATATATATTTACTTTAACTGGGTCAATAAATACACTTTTCATTATGGATCTGACTGAAATCAGAGTCTGTATGCTCCAGGCTTCTGCCAGGATTGCCTCAAAGCATGATGCTGCCACCACCATGTTTCAAAGTGGGGGGGTTTTGTCTTTTTTGGGGATTCTTATTGCTTTTTTGTCAACAATGCCTCCTCTCTTTTACAAATCCATAGTTGGTAGTTTGTGGTTGCTGTTAAAAATATGGATTATTATGTAAAAGCAGAAATAATGAAGTCAAATTGCATACCTATTAAAGTGGATTCAGATTGTGATTGGTGGAGTGCAGATCTATCAACCAATTCTGAAACTGAGCAGAAACTCAGGTCAATCCAGTCCTGTAGTTTTTCTATATCTGTTGTATTCTTCATTTTTTAGAGCTTGTCTTTTTTACAATACTGTGCTAATACAATTAGAATGCCTATTTCTGTTATGCAAGACCTGACTTAAACTCTAAAAGTCAACCTGTGAACCTCTTTGCTTTAAAGTCAGAGAGGTACAATGTCTTTAGCTCATGGGTTTCTTCAGCTGTTTTACTCCACAGACAATCAATGTGAATGACACTTAGTTTCTTCAATAAAATACTAAGTTAAAACCTGTAAATGATTAGGAGCTTATGTTTCCATAAACCTCAACACCCTACTTTATTGGCTCATATCATGTGAGAAATGATGCAAAACACTGTCATTACATTCTTTTATCTCTTCTATTTTTTTGAAGAATTTCTTTGAATTTCTTCATCTTACGTTGGAAAATCTAAGTCATGTTTGTTTATGAGTCGAGGCTACTTTTAGCATGCTTTTTCACCCTTGTTTTTATGGATCCCTGGGCAAACTCCTGCATTATAAATTCAGTCATTATAAAAACAGTCTTCTGTGTGCACTAACAGCTTCCTCAGACTGCAGTAGGAGTCTTCCTGCTACTTGCCCACCTCAGAGTTACTTTCTGAGCTCTCTCTGGTTCTCGTGTCATTCTCTGTCGTCTCTTAAGGAGATGCTCATTTGGATAGCATGTCGAGGACAATGCCACGGCTGTCGCTCTGATAGCTATCCAACTCCTTGATCTTCTCCCCTCGTAAACATCATTAGCTCACGCTGGAAATGTACACATTCACACCAGGCAAACACACGGGCACACACCCCCACAAGCTGCTCAGCCAAATCGGCGCTAACAGATTAGCAGTGATTATAAACAAACACGGGGGATTAATCCTGTGTGCTCTAAGTCTACTTTTCCACTGAGCTAGCCAGGGTAATTACCAAGCGCTAGATTGTTAGTGTAATCGCACACATACACACTGTGGCTGCTGTGTTTCACTACTTAGTGATATCAGTCTCAGCTGCTCATTTCATGAGAAACTTTAAGATGCCTTCTCCAAAGAACATGAAAGACGTGTGAAGTAAACACACAGCAGGCAACGCAAGGGTTTGGCACAAGTTACTGTTGGAAACTCAAAGGTTCGTCCTTGGTAGCCAAAAAAGAAATGAAGAACTTTTGGAAAGACATATTCATATCATAACAGACATGGTGGATAACTTATCAGCTTCTACATCGGCCCAACCCCAAGTCTCAAAGATAGTTTGTTTCTGTCAGTTTTTGTCTGACATGGTCTCCTTTTTAGCACTTAAGTTCCTAACACCATATTTAGTCGTCTTAAATATCCCTGACAGCTTGAAGTCTTTTGTTGGTGAGGGACTATATTTTCTTTCTTTAATTTTTCTTGACCACAAGGAAAAACTCCCCCTCCTTTGAATGCTTCCTCTGTCTTGCATGTTTTAGACCATTGATTCCTAACTGGGGGTACGTATACCCCTATTGATCTGCGAGTGCATTGCAAGGGGTACAAAAATATTTTATTTCTTAGGTAGTAAAATAAAATAGAGCTGGGATCTGTGTTGCTTTTTGAGGACCCAACTTAAAAAAACCAACTTCAGTTTTGACACACATTAAAACCAAGCAGAGGAACAGACTGGATGTAGAGAACAGAGTTATTGGAGCTCATCAAAGCACCTCAGGTGTCATTAATGTTGAAGTCAAAGTAAAATAAATGGAGCCAGTCTGACTATAATTTCTGTTTAATGTTTTGTTTCCAGTTCATCAAGTTGATATTTGATTACAGGGAAGTTACTCAGAGCAGCTCCAGTTTTATAAAGGCAGATTTATAATATGATTTTATTTCATATTTGTATTTATTCCTTACTAGCTTCAGGGCAACATATTTATGTTATTTTTTATTTGAGATGGAAAGAATACAATGCCTAAGAATCAAATGCTCATTTTAGTTATCGTATGTTCCTTTTTTGGGCCGTCATTAATCCTTTTTACTGAGGGGGGGTACTCATGGTAATTCGAGATTCCCAAAGGGGTACATAAGTCAATAAAGGTTGGGAACCACTGTTTTAGACTTCCCCCAGTAGCACCTCAAGACACTTCCTTTGAGATTACTGTATCTGTATTATTATATTTTTGTGTACTTTTTGTAAAGCACTTCGTGACCCTACCTTGTTCCTGAAAGGTGCTATATAAATAAACCCACTTACTTACTGACTGAGATAACCTCTCCAGAACCTTCACTTTTTCTCCTGTTCGAGTGACAGCTCAACTTGCCTCATTCTTCCATCTTTCATGATGGAACATCCTGGTACATCACATGCTTACCCTAAAAGACTATCAAGTGCAAATTTAAACTCATATTTTCTGATAAGTTGACACAACCCAAACGAAAACCATCGTTCCCATTAATCACCTTCTTTATTTCTCATTAGGTTGGTGTTTTTCTCATCGTAGGCCTTGTTGACTTCTCTACAAATGTACCGTTTGTAGTTGTGGCTATAAATGTAACATTTGGTTTCATTACTCCAGATGTTGTGTGTTGTTTCTTTTCTATTTTTCTGCTTATTAACTGTGTTCTTTTTCCAGCTTCACCATCCCTTTACCATTTTTTATTGGGTACCTCCTGATTGTGCATCTTCAACAAACGAGTATCTTGTTCTCCTGTATGTCAGCTGTACACTGGGTCATTGTAGTTAGAATTAAAATGAAGGCATTCTTATTTGCCATTCATTGTGTTTTCTTTAAGTATATCAGCCAAGTCTGTTATGTCATATGTTGTAATTTATCTAAAATTGTATTCATGTTCATCTTCAAAAGCTCCTAAAAATCTTACCGAAACCCTAAGTTGCATGCTTCCCTACCATTTCTAACAGTCTGCCTTTTCACAGGTTGAGGCCATTTTGGTCAACATCTTTGGAGGCATTGTCAACTGCGCCATCATTGCCAATGGCATTACCAAAGCTTGTCGAGAGTTGGAGCTCAAGGTCCCACTGGTGGTCAGGCTTGAAGGTAAAACAGAAGCTATTACAATGACACGCCAAACTGTTTTATCTCTTCATCTTGTTAGCTCAGAGAACACAGTGTTTATACCCCATTGGTACCAATGTAGCCTCAATGGATTTTTTTGGGAAAGTCTTCTTTCCGAAGTGTAGAGAAACCTTTTTTTTTTATTCAAACTACAAACTTCAAGCTGCTGTAATTGGATTCTTTGGTCATAGACCAACTGAGAAGTGCTTCATTATCAAGTGAAAGAAAAAACTCATTCATAAATTGTTTGGTGTTGATTTCTATTCAACCTTCCCTGGTCAGAGCTTTTCAGGTATGGCCTTTTGACAGATTAAAAGTCAAGACAGCTTACACTCCATCAGATCAAATAGAGAGCCTCTGTTCACAGAATATGCAGCTAGACATGAAAATTACTAAGTTGAATTGGGTTTTGATTAAGCAATTCTAGCACATGCAGATTCTTTAGGATAAAATTTTCCATCGTTACTCTGACAGTATATGGTTGTGGTTGTACTGCTGTAGGGGAACCAAAACCCCTTTATTAGATATTTTGAAGCCTCTGCTACATTATCTCAAAATATTAGTCTGTATTGAGTTTCAGTTGTTTTTATGTCGAATCGGACCAACGTTACTGTGCCTGGTAAAAGATGCCTTTCCTGCTGTATGATGGTAATACTACCGTGTTTTTTACAGTTTGTGTATCCAGAGCAATTTTCAGCGCTTGCCTCCCATTTTCCAATTGCCCTAGACACAAGCCCCTTTTCCAGTAGGACCTAATTCAGAGCGATTGGCTACAGGTCGATATACTTTTAGGCTTTTCCATTAGTAACGGCCAGATTCTATCCTCCACTCCTGTCCGTGTCAGATTAGTTGCACTCCTCCTTCGCACGGCCATGTAAAGAAACACCAGCCCCATACGGGATAACGCCATCAAGCTCCGCTCCAAGCTCTTTGAAGTTCCAATAGAGCACGCTGTGAAGGTCCAGGTGGAGCTAAGCGAGGCCGGAGCGTGAAGTTCGGATGAGTTACGGATAACGTGGAATCGTTCTTATTAATTAACATTACGTAATTGCTTCATCAGGCGAACTGACGTATACTTCAGCAGAGGAAAAATTATGTGAAAGCTAAGGTTAACAGCTACAAGGAACTGTTTTTTAGTGCCTGAAATATAAACAGGTGACTCATAAGGATGGACTTCATTTTATTGTATATGTACAGAATGGGAGGTTGTTTTACTAAACATTTTGGATTTGTTGTATCTGATACTTGGTCAAGCCCCGTGGGGACACATCATTGCCATAAGAGCATCGCCGCATTTTTCACACACATCACATCCTGTTCCACTTTTCATCAGCAGCAGTCAGAGTCACAGTTGACACAGCACTGATTGGCTCACCTTTCACCTGTGTATGCTAATGTACCATGTCCGTGTGTGTGTGTGTATGTGGGAAGCTGTGGCTCTCACCGACTCCGATGGCCAGTTACTGCTTGCCTTAATTGTCAATTTGCTGCTCAGTGGTGTGTCTAGAGCACAAAGTGAAGGGTGTGTATTTATTAGCATTTAATATACAGTTTTTAGCTCAAGGCTTTTAACCTGTTTCCATGACCTGACCGTGTGCGGAGGCGCTCTTGCTGGTAATGAACAGCTAAATGGAGCATAGCAAACAAGGTGCACATTTTTAATAGAAAACCACAGTGTCAAGCAGGTGTTTTAATGTTGCTTTCTGTCATGTTTGTTTGTCAAATAATTTTGGAGCTCAACCAGGATGAAGTATAATGAAAAATGATCATAAAGTCAGTTTTATGTTACCAAAAAACTGTATGTAAATTGAAACAGAATGGAAAGAAGCTCACTGGAAGCTACTATCTGTACTACTGATTGAACACAGGAGGGAGGACCTAAAGCGCTGAGTTCATCTGCCACAAAAGTGACCAGTTGGCAACTAAAATCATCTCTCAATGATTTCAAACATTTCTTACATTATGCTGTGTATTCAGCTTGACTGACGAATACAGCATACGGTCAGCGCGGTCTGATGCTCCGTACCACTGCTCTCCTGGCCAGGGCCTAATCCAAGCTTTAGTTGTGGGTCATTACATTGTGGGCTTCGTTGTTGCAGAGAGGATTGCTTCAGAATCAATCAGCTCAGCTTGCTCGGCTGACCGCCGGGCAGAGAGAACGGCCCTGTGCTCTTCAGCGGGATCAGAATGGATTAACAGGCGCACTTTTAATTGGAAAAGCTCTTTCTTTTTTAAAGACGGGCCCTGATTGAACTGCTAGAGAGTTATGTATTCCCAGAGAGGTGCCATGTGGTCGGTGTGCTATTAGGGAAATATTAATGTATGATTGCAAAACTTCCATTTCATATTCACTTAACAGAATCAGCACAGAAAAATAATATTTATACATTTATGGTGGAAAAATACTTAAGGTATGAATAGGAAAAGCCCCCTGAGAAAGGTTGTACTGCCCTCTTTGGCTGCAGGGCGGAAATGGACTTACTGCACAGTGAGGATACTTTCTGCTGCTGCTATAAGGATGAATTTCCCTTTAAATAGTCCTCAGGGTCCAGAGGAAAGAGTGACTGCATTCACTTAACTGTGTTCCCCAACCTATTGATTCACTGAGCGCTTCTTTAAGAGTGTATCGAAGTGAGGAGGTTGATTTCTGCTTAAAGCTGTCTTCCTGTTTATTTAAGAAGAGATTTTGGATTCTAATAAGGTTAAAATGGGGCCCTCTGTAGTCTCAGAGTCATTATTCTTGAAACAGCCGTTTGTCGCAGCCCAATTCAGTGTGCTGCACACAACACCAACAGATAATTCAGCTCTGTGCATATATAATGCAACTTTATTCCTGCAGTGTTTAGATGATCAGATTAAGTCCTATGCATCATTAATACAACTCTGCTGTTGGCTTTTCCTCACAGTCCACATTAAAAATGATCCCATAGATTAAACTTCCACTTCCAAATGTGCGTTTTTAATCTGGTAACCTTAGCTAGACGGTGGCTTCTTCTTTCTTAAACAGCAGTCTAGACGATTTAAAAGACATGAAATCTTCAATTAATGACTGGCCAACACTTCAAAGGAAGAAGCTTCTGCAGCATTGAGCAGCCCCCTGCTCTGCCTTCAAATAAGAGGCATTTGATGTTGGACACGCGTGGGTGGGGGGGTGATGGGTGTTCCTTCGCCCTGGAATGTAAAGGGAATACTCGAACTGCTTTAAACTGAAACATTATGAGATTAAGCAATCCTATCCAGAGAAGCAGAGAGTAACTATGATATGTAGAAACTTTTTAAATCAAGATCAGAGGTCAGCAAGTATGGGAACAGCTACTCTATCAATGTTGCAGAATTTCGGGTCTCTATTAGCAGATTTTGTACTACTTTTTAACCATATAAAGTTATGTCATGGAAACTTTGAGTTTTCTGATTAAGTGCAATTGCTACCAGGATATTACAAATATCTTTTTTTTTAAATCAGTCAAAACACTGAAGTCAAAAATGTACCTGAAGCAAGCATTTAGTCATTGCCAGACATCACAGCTCTGCCACTGATTAGGACATTTACGTTGATATTGTCACACTTTTTATTTCTAAAGAAATGGTTTGGTTTATTTAGCTAAAGTGATTGATTGATTGAAATGCAGTAAGTAAGGCTACTCAGCCTCAGCTATGAGATAATTTTGTCAAATTGTTCTGAAATCTTATTTTTTTGCATCAAGTTGCACCTCAGTGAAAAGGAGGTTTTCCAAATATTGCAGCACTTTTTTAAGTAATATAATCTCACTGACTTTTTCCATTTTTACATGTTTGTTAAAGGAACATAGGTCATTTATATCTCTTCAATCAAAAACTCATAAAAAAACACATTGAGTTCTAAACTAGACAGATTAAAAGAAAAAGGTTCAGAAACTCAAAAAATTCCACAAAATGCAAGAATGAGGATTCTAACTAACCCTGACCTTAAAATCCAATATGGCTGCTTTGCATTTAAAACACTGATGGCAGCAGTGACCTTGAGTTGTTGTTAGTGACAGGAACATTGATTTTATATATCTCATTAACTCGTTTACACATACACACTACAACAAAACATGCTTTGGTGAATAGGTGGCTAAAGTTAAATAAATTAAAAACAAACTTGTTTCTAGAAATAAAAGTTAGGCACTGAGAAAATTGACAGAAAGCTCTGCATTTTAGTTGATGTATTAGATTTAAAAGCCTAAACACATCCGACTTGATAAGGTGTCTGATTGGATGGAAAACAGGATCATATGAGGACGCTGCATTTAAAATGCATGGAGCTGCAGACTACTGGTTTTCTGCAAATGTGCTTGAGTAGCTACAACCAAGATAGAGCCCTGGTCTATTTCTATCACACCTACACAGCTGCGATGTCATGAGTCTGACAGGAAGAGTGACTCAGTAAAACACATCAGCTTTACGTAACAATAGGTCAAATCTCTGAATCGCAAGGTAACCCAGTCTTTGTTTAGGTAATTTTCCTTATTTTTTTATTCGATTTTATGCATTTTTGAACCAGAAAACTGATTACTTAACATTTCTGTTAGCATTAAATTTTTCTTTTTTTTTCCATTTAGAGGTGGATTTCAGTTAAACGATTTTTTTCATTTTACCATGTATTTATTTGAGCTTTTAACTAGACATACACCTAGGGCTGGGTACCGAACATCGCTTCTTTTATGGTACCGACCGAAATGCTTCGGTTCTACAGAGTATCGAAACATGCCTCGTCTTTCGGTACCAAGTTTCGGTGATTGGCTGTAACGCTTAACGTTGTTGCGTCATCCAGGAAAAATACATAGGTGGTCACGCCTACAGCCAGGGTTTATGTGTATCTTTTGTGAACTGGTTTGCGAGCGTCGTGGAACCCCTTTAAAATGCCCCCCAGGTCAAAAGTGCGGCTTCACTTTATTAAGACTGATGCCAATAGTGCGCAATGCAATACATCGTGCACGGAAATAATTTAAGAGCAGAAA